AAAGCCATATCCTACAAAACAGAACAAAGGTAAATCCCTAGGTCCTTGAAATGGTTAGTGAAAATTCTATGGCATGATGTCATGATGTTTATGATGTTATGAACAAATAAACATATACACAAAAAGCACACAAGGCCTTAGGTTTAGGATTGCATGAGTTTTATAGGTAAATACCCTCTTGAAGTTTAGTTGGTTCAACATATCCTAAAAGAAAGTAACAAGGTTCTACGGAATCTCAATATCAGTGATCTCTCTTCATCGGGCATTGTTTCAGCACAAGCAATCTTTTTTCGTGACCGAAATATCCCGAAATTACGATCTCAATGAGTGTAGTATCAAGTATCAACCAACTTCAGTCTTACACCAAAGCTAACTATCTTACTACTTTCTAATGGCCAAGTTATTCAACTAAGAATCTATGGTCAGTTAGTGCTTTATGACACAACTCAGAGGCCCCGTATTCTCCTTTATTTAACTCAAGGGACACAGGTACCCACAAATGTGTCGCACTAACATAGCTATAGCTTCAACCATATCGGTCTACACCATACAGTCTCCATGATTTATTGCTACTTACCTAATATGCCCCAGATTCGGGTATAGGATCTTTTCAAGAAATAAACCCAAGCATAACCCACAAATGTAAAGGAAACAAATCAAGAAAGTAAAGCAATAAAGGTGGTCTATCTCTTAAGGTAACCCCACTTTTAGTCTAGTCCACAGTAGAGTCGCTAGTTATGTGATACGGTGGGAGAACTGACTTGGGTGTTTTGCGTTTTATCGCAAATGTGGCGGATAGCAAGAGTCACCATCGACTTTTCTTTTATCCAATAAAGAAAATGGTGAAAAGAACAGGAAAGACCTTTTGAGAATTTTATTGAGTTCGGGGGGTAGGTTATGAAAAGGGAAGGTGTTAACACCCTTTTCATCCGTAGTTATCTAAGGGCTCTTAATTGCTTGGTCACTTTGAAATGCTTTGTATTTGTGTAAGTTTGAAAATATTTTGAAAACGCCTAAGTTTGGAAAACTTTTGCAATGATTCTCGGATCATTGAGAATGTACACAAAGTGTTGGTTTTGAAAATATTTGTTGAAAAAGAGTGTTTGAAAGATGTTTTGAAAATGCCAATGTAAGGCCATTTTGTAGTGATTCTCGTATCGTTGAGAATGTATACAAAATCACTACAAGAAAAATGATAGATTGGGACGATTATTTTGGCTGATTACGACGGTTAAAACCGTCGCAATTTACAATCTACGACGGTAGAAGTACCGTCGCAGAATCGTGCGTCCCCAGCCTATTTCGCGACGGTTGCAAAAACTGTCATGCACAACAGATAGCGACGGTTATATACCGTCGTGAATTTGACTTTATTTTTTGTTTTTGTTGTTGTTTGCGACGGTTATTCTACCGCCGTAGGTTAGAAATTGCGGCGGTTTTAACCGTCGTAATCTGATTTATAAATTTCAAATAATATTTTTATTTAAATTATTATTTAGTAAAATAATTTTAAATATAATATTATTTTACTATAATATTTTACTATTATATTTAAATTATTATTTACTTTAATATTTTTTTATTTATAGTATTTTTATTTTATTTTCTATCACTTTTCAACATAAATTATTATTTACTTTAATATTTTTTTATTTAAAGTATTTTCATTCTTAATATCACATTTTGCTCCATGAGATATCAAAAGGCCACACATTTCTCCATTACTTTCTCTGGCAGCTAACATCAATGGTGTATATCCATTTTCATCAAAACCATTCACATCGTAATTCCCTTCCTTTAGTAGTTTTTCAACCATGTTTATATCTCCATAACAAGCTGCACGGTGAAGAGTATTCGCTTCGGCTAAAGTACTAATATTCAAACATCCCTTTTTAAGTGCATATTCAAACATCACCTTATGACCATCTTCACCATTTTGTTTCAAATCTATGATATCTAGAGCTGTTAAACCATCTTTGTTTTTAAGATTGGTTACATCAGCTCCAGCGTGAAGAAGCAACTTGAATGCCTCCACGCTACCCTCTGAAGCAGATATCATGACAGCTGAAAATCCACTCTCATTTTGCTCATCTAGATTTATGTTTCTGTTTTCAACGACTTTTTTCAAAGCCTCTATGTCATTCGCGTGAGTGACGAATAACAAAGATGAAAATCTAGACGCATTGCTAGACTTAACAACCTTTCTGGCTCTAATTATATCCAAAACTGCTTTCTGATATTCTTTAGTCCAATGAATAGAAGTTGTTGTTGAAGTTGCGCAATGACCAAACGAATTTACTATCCCCAAATCAGCTTCTGATGATACTAAAACTCTTAGACACTTCTCATGTTTATACCTTGTGCAAACCATCAACGCCGTGTCACCAAGTTTTGTTTGCGAGTCCAAGTTACAGTTACCATTAATCAAACATTGAAGAATGTTGCATAGTCCGAGGCGTGCAGCCATGTGAATAGGGTATAGATTGGTTTCTTCTTCAGTAGTTTGAAGGGCCAATTCTGTATCAACCCCATTATTCAGAAGTACATTCAATGCTCTTTCATTGTTGCAAATGATGGTGTGGTGCAAGAGAGTTCTTCCCATGTGAAAACTATTAGGTGAGAGGTGATGGAGAAGCATGTTGAGTATAGTGCCAGTGGATTCAAAATATTCTACAGCACACCATGTGATTGGAAAAGGCTCGGCTAGTCCGACACCAACACGGAATTCTTCTCCTGTATCTGTTTCCCAAGACCAAGCTCCTAATTTGACCTTGATATCAAGTCTTACACCAACCTGCAAAAGGAGTTTAACAACATTTATCTGCCTGCTGACCACAGCAGCAAATAATGCATTGCAATCAACATTAGTGTGAAGAAATGGCTTTGAAGATTGAAGCAAAATTCTATCGATTGCATTGATATCCACTCCTTGCTGCAAACAAACCAAAGAAAAAGTGACACTTAGTACATGAATTGTTTGTACCTAGCAAAATTACAACCAGAGAACTTGAGAGGAGCACGCTCTCAGGACCTAAGGTTTTACCGCTAGGCCAACCCTCATGTTTTCTCAGCTTCCTCCTTTTTCAACCGTGATTTTGAGAAGCTGATATGTCTAGCTTCTGTTCACCGTGATTTTCATGTTTTCCACACACGCACTATACCGAGTTGTAACTTTGAGAGAAATGAGAGGACATTTGTTCTTACCAAAAGCTGCTCAAGGAAACAGAAATAAGCAAGCATGCTGACAATGACAAGCACAGGTAACTCCTGCCAAACCCTGTTAAATTGTGCATACAAATTGAAGTGTTACCGGTAGCAATTACTTTTAGTACAAGAAAGATACAAAGAGAACGCTATATTCCATTTATAAACCAATGCACTTGTATCGACCGCAGAAATCCCAAAACAAAATTGACTACATGATAATATTCTGAAGAGTAAACTAAAATCTACAACTTCAATACAAGCAGATCATAGATCGTGGGAATAGCGGTTTGATCAAATTTCGCTACGTAATAATGCTATAGTGCATGAAAGTAAACTAGTTTGGTTGGCCTCATATTTTAGATATTTTCATAAATAATATGCCATTAAAGAAGTTGCCCATAAGATCTCAAGATATGCATATATCTCAAATGAAGCATACGAGTAATAGTTTTTATCAAATGAAAATAACTGCACATGCCTGAAGTCGTCTTCCTGCTGAGACCTTGCTCCGGTATTCTGAGTTTGAACATTTTGGATGCGTAAGAGAGTGACAGGGAGATTCTGAACTTCTTGCTTGCACACATCACATGTCTTGTTACCCCTGATACTGAACCACTTGATAGCGCATTCTTGGTGAGCCAATGCAAGTTCACCTTTGCAACTGCATTCCATCTTCAGCGTCTCACCTCCTTCACATAGCTCAATCAGACAAATCCTACACACAGCTTCCTCTTCAGCTATATCTTCACCGTCATCACCGCCATTTTCTGAACCATGAAAAAATTTTAAGTCGAGTTAATGAAAATGTATCAATCAGCTTTTGTATTGTTAGACTTAATACCTGTATCCTTTTCTGCAGAAGCTTTTAACCATTCTTTAACTTCCTTTGCACCTGGGGTGGAAGGAATAATGCGGAAAAACTTATCCATTTTCCTTATGATTTTTTCTTTGCTATCTACCGGCTCTGAACGAGTGCAAGCTATCGATCCCTGGCTTCTCTGCAAAAGGATCAAATTGGTTAAAACAAAGGATATACATGCAAGATTTGGCAACCACTAAAGAATATAAGAATTAGGACTAGAAAGTGGAAAGCATGCTCATTCACACAAACACGTTTAATTAAACTGTTCATCAAAATAGGACTTAACAAGTTAATCAAAAGACAAAATAACCACTATTTCAAAATTGATATTATAAGTTAAAAGCCTTACATATGGAGAAGCACCAAGACATCCACCAAAAGCAAACTCATTATTAACACGCCCGATTTCTTCAACCGGTAGCGAAGAAGTTCTATAAATCTTAGGAGCAAACAGCTTACTCAAAGACACTGATCCTGATCCAGAGACAGAAGGCTTCTCACAAGGACTTTCCGGAGCCAAACTTATCGCCTTTTCAACATCAGATGATGAAGTCCTATTATACGGAAAGTTCAATTTCGGCATAATACTTCTAGCACTCGACGATTTTCCTCTTGTGGTCAAATTCCCTAGATTGTTACTATCACTATCCACAATTGGAGCAGCATCAACAGAACGTGAAGTCACAAGAAAATTCACCTTCTTGTGAGTCGGAGTTGGACTCGGTGTTAATGGCATCTTAATCGCAACAAATTCGTTCGAAAATGATGATGATGAACCAGAAGATTCTTCTGATGTTTTGTAGGGTATTTCCATTTGAGTTCCGCTACACATCACTGCCGCGAATCCACCTAATTTTACACAAAACCCTAACAATTTGTTCAAATTATACTATGTAGTGCAACAATTCTACTATGAGATCCAAAACCCTAATTATGGTAAATTAGCAGCAACAACAAGAAGAAGTAGAAAAAAGAATTGAAATCGAGAGAATGACGTACCAAAGATACATCCAACAGACCAGATATCAACTCTAGTAGAGTAGGTAGTAGATCCAAGCAAAACTTCAGGAGCTCTATACCAAAGAGTAACAATCTCATGAGTATAACTCTTAAGCGGGACGGTAAAAGCCCTCCCAAGACCAAGATCAGCAATCTTCAAAATCCCTTGCTGTTGATCGAGAAGCAAATTCTGCGGCTTCAAATCCCGATGAGATTGAAGCGAAGAAGGTGGTGGTGGTTGTTGTAGAAGATGGAGAGGGAAGTGGGGGAGAAGGAAGAAATGTTGTTGGTGGTGGTGAGTAGTGGAGATGAAGATGGAGGGAGTGGATGGAGGTTGAAATGAAGAGAAGACATGGTTGTGGTGGAAGCCGGTGATGTCGGGCAGCGACGAGAAGAGAAAAAAGGAGAAGCTTTTGGACCTGTTATGTTCTTTTGTTAGAAAATCTTTTAATTTTTTTATATTAATTTAATTTGATAAATATATAAATATATTATATTATTATCACTTTTTTGTAGTGTACGGGGCGACGGTTGTTATACCGTCGTGATGTGTATTTTATGGCGGTTTGTTAACCATCGCGACATTGATTTTAGGACGGTTTAATAAAAAACTGTCGCAATATTTAATAATTTTTTAAATATATAAGGACGATTGGTGTATACCATCGTGAAATGTGTCTCTATATTAGAATTACGACGGTTATCAAGTAACTGTCGCAATTTTTGTGTCGTAAAATCCTAATTTTCTTGTAGTGAATGTTTGTTTTTTTTAAAGATGTTTGAAAGTGTAAGGTGTGAAATGATTTTGTTTTTGAGTAAGTAGTTACAAGCATTCTACCTACTCAAAGAGTCTTTGTTCTTTTCCTCCTCCTTTAGATAGTACTTGTCTACCATTAGTTAGTAAGAAACCATATCATTGGATGTGAGGGACAGGCGTGGATCATCATACAGTCATAGAAGGAAACTTGTAAGATGTTTAAGCAATTGTCATAAGGGACTAAGATCATTTACCGAAGGCAACATCGAAGGGTCATCGAGGTACTATGAACTTTTAATCGAGGGTCTTTGCTAAAACATCTGATGTTCAAGGGACATGACTGTTTAAATCTGAGGCAACAAGTGTGGGTAACCCTAGAGGTACATGTGCGCAAGGTGTATTGATTTCATATATTTTATCTTGAATTAGGGTTGTCTAATGCTTGTTTTTTAAGTCTTGTCATGCAAACCCTAATTACTAACAATAATAAGAAAATAGATAAGTTGTGAAATTTAAATATCCTACGCTATTACAACGCTTTGGAAATATGGGGTACAATTTTGTGAATAGGGGAAGAAAGCAATAAAGACATTATTACTATTACAAATCATTGGATATGAATTACAATAATAATAAACAAAAATGTAAAGATGAAGAAGAAGAGAAAAATTATTTTTAGGTTTTTTGATGGAAAAGGTTTTAGAGATTAACTTAATTAAACCAATTAATTTACAAGAAAAGTTAATTAATTCAATCAATTTAAAAGGAAAATTAATTGACAAAACCTAAATCTAATTTAATTGGAATTAAGAAGAAAATAAACCTAAGTCTAATAATTTGTTTATGAAATAATTTGAGTGTTAATATTAATTTAGAAAAAATATTTTAAAGTATAGAAAACAAGTAAAATTTAATTCTAAATATTAACAAAAATAAAACAAATGTTTAAATTAAAATGTTTTTAACTTAATTATTTAAGAAAATATATTTTTATTTTTTAGGGTTAAACAAAAATAAATAAATAAATGAAATGTAGAAAATATAAAAGAAAATAAAAATAATTGGGCTGGGTGTTAAAAAGAGTAGAATGGGTGTGAAAAAACAATTTTGGCAGGCCCAACATAAGTCCTTTTTTTGAAATCAGAAAAAAAAAGGAAAATGTTTGTAATTAAAAAAAAACATTGGGCATGCGCTATTAGCAAGTAAAGAAGGAGGGGTATAAGAAAGCAGAAACAAAAAAGAATAAAGCCCAAATTCTAAGAAGCCCAACGCCTGTATGGATCTCATATGACTGACTTTTGAAGGTGCATCATAGTCTTGCTTTGTAGAGTGTTGGATCTGGTTGCGTGATGATTATGTGGTGTTGATATGAAGTCCATGGTAGGAGCCTTGTACATGATTTCATTGGATCTGAAATAAGAAAATGTGAAGAAAAAAAAAGGGTGCCGCTAGGGCTCGAACACAGACCCATATAGTTCAATGCCTTACGCGCGCTTCCTCTGCCACTGGGGTGGTTGTTTCATCCATGTATAGAATAATAACTATTAAATATATTACAAACTCAATTTTAAATTTAACTTCATCTTCCTCCTCGTGCCAACTTCCATTATTACATTTTCAAATTTTCGAACTTGCTCATTTCTCAAACATTTTCAAAAGTGTAAACATGAAACTTGGTCCATTTTTAAACATGAATTCAACCATGTAAATAGCTAGAGCTATAAATCAAAGATGAACACAAATTTTGTTTGGTACTAAATAAAACCTAAATTTTTCAGAAAATTCAACTTCAAAATTCACATTACTCAGGCACCATAAATGAAAACTAAAGTCATGGTTAGCTTCAGGGCTATGATGTCTACATTTTTTATTCACAAAGCAACCATTAATGATGCTTGTATAAGAAGTTCAAATTTGAGAAGACTTAACTCAAAACTGGAAATTGTGTATGGAGTTTGATGATCTGGAGATGTTGTGATGATCTAGATAGCTTCACTGGACTCCTAGGAAGCTAATGCAACTCTTACTTTAAGCTGAAAGTGGCTGAATCGTGCTGGAGAAGTCAAGTTGTAGAGGTGCAAATTGAGATTTGGACAATGATGGAAATGGAGTTAGAATTATGAAATGAGTGTTTGGATAGCCTCTATATGATGTATAGAAGGTGCCTGAAGTGGAAATTTAGAGAATGCACGAGTGGATTGAAAGATAGATGTTTAAGGTTTGAAGACTTGCTTTAATGGTGGTTTTGAGAGAATTTTTCAGAGCCTTGCCTCTCTATTTATAGAGGTTGCAAATGGTCTATCTAACTTACAGAAATCGTTCTTGGTTCACAACGAAAACTGGTTTGGTCATTTGGTTTGAAAATGCACAAAAAAGTATGTTGCTTCATGATGAAGAAAGGCAGTGATTCAAGGGATTTTCCATGCTTTTGCTGACCTCTAGAAGTTGACTCTGCTATTGAGATTTTGTGTGATCTGATTAGGATCAAGTTAGAAGCTTATGTGAGGATTTGTTTACATAAAGCTTGCTTTATTAAAGTGGCAAATTGACTTTATGCAAATTCATCCAAAAATAGCATCAAGACTTGGACAATGCTTCTAATATTTGTGAAATACATTTAAGACTTGGGTAAATCTCTGATCAAAGTGAGATTTAGAAGTTAAGTGGCCTGAAAAGTGGGATCATATAGCTTAGGTTTGAGATTTTTCTATGAGTTCATCACAAAAATGGTCTATAATTCAAGTTTATCATGCCATCTTCATGTCTTTGAATCTCCTAGATAAAAAATGATATCTTCAAGTTCTATGACATTTTGGAAATCTTGAAACATTTTCTACAACTTTCATGTTGACCACTTTGGCTAAATCATCTTAGAACTAGGTGAAAATTTTGCCAAGAAGTTAGGACAAAAATCTACCTAAACTTGTTGAAAATTTCACTAAGTGCTTTATGAAAAATGTCATGACTTTATGAGCCTATATCTTTAAATCTAAGCATTTTTTGGACATCAAACCTAAGGGACAAAGTTATAGAATTCATCAAGATCTACAACTTTCATGTTGAAAGTTTTCCTTGAATCATCTTGCATCATGGTGAAAAATTGTCATGTAGTAGTGAAATTAAGAAGGTCAAAAAACACTTATAATTTTCTAAGTCTTGAAAACATTGACTTTTTGTTGTCTTTCTTGACTTCTTTATTCTTGATAGTCCAGTTTGATATTTTTTAATGTCTTGATGAATCTTGATCTTTGAAATTCAATGTTGATCAAAAATTCAAAGTTTGACTTTTTGTATATCAATTGACTTTTCGTCAGTTGATCAAATTTCAACTATCAATCCATTGATCTTGAGAAATGATTTGAGTCATGAAATTAGGTCAACATGTTGTATTTGATTCCTTAAGATAATTCTTCAATCCATTAGGTCATGTACTAAGTCAAAAGTCAATGATCATACATTCTCAACCAAAACCCTAATTTTGACAATTTTGCCCCTTTGATGATTTGAGTGCTTTTATTGAGGAATTATGATCAATCCTTTTTCAATTGATAAATATTACTTTAAAATGTTGATGTTGGCCAAAAATCATGAAGTTTGACTGTATCTTCACCATAGTTGACTTTTTATCCAATACAATTGATTTCCAATCATCTGAGCAATTGACTGAACAAATTTGTCGTGCAAGACTTGAAACTTGGTATGAGCAATCTTGGAGACCTATAATGAACCTTAAAGTCATTTAAGGCATCAAAATTCCAATTTTCCTTGAGAAAACCAAAACCCTTATTTGGATCCAATGCTTAGGAGGTGAGCTTGTCTGATCAACTCTTGAGAATCCTTGAGCATTTGAGATCTTTTGTGAGAAATGTGTTGAGAAAAGAGAGGGAAAATTTTGGGGTAAAACAAGGGCCTTCATCCATTTCCAATATTTCTGATACAAAATGGTATGTGTTGTACCCCAATTTTTGACCCTAAGATCCCTCTATCACATCATATCAATTTAATCCCAACAAAATCACACACTAGGGTTTGGTTCTTCTCCCTATCTTTAGCTTTGCTCTATGGGGAATCACCAAGCACCTTAACTTATATTTTGTGATCAAATATGTTTTTATTATCCTTTAACTAATGAATACAATAAGTGTTTTCCCCCAATTGATGATGATGGTAGGAGAAAGCGCAACACATTCCATCAAGATTGATCTATAGATTTATGAGCTCATTTCTATGCTTTCCTCAAGAAAGCTTCATTGAGACTCAAGCCTCAACATTGAAGATGCTTTGAAGAAATATAATAACAAAGTATATTTTGATTCATCATACTTCAAGTTGTCAAATATGGTTAAAAGGTGCAAAGATTGATTGAAGAAGTTTGACTCAATTGGGATAATCATTGACTCATTAATCACAAGTGCCCATCTCCTTCAATTCTAAAGATTTGAAAGTGGTTTTGGTTGCTATGTTTTCTCCTTATCATCCTCAACAACTCATATTCATATAACAAAAGTATTTGTCTAAGGAGATAGGTAAAAAATTCAAAGGTTTCCCAAGGCATTTTCTTGCTCTAGGAGCTAGGGTTTTGAACCTCAAAGGGGTATATCTTACTCATCTTTTGGTATTTTTTATTGATTCCAAAGACATGCTTCTCTTTAAAGGGTTATTAACAAATCACTTCAAAAGTTTCAAGTAAAGTTTGTGTGGAAGAAACTTGATAATGAAGAAAGATTACAAGTCCTCCAGATGAACCCCCAAATTCCATTAGGTGATTTCAAATGATCATAACATGGTCAATTTTTATCACCTTTAAACCATTAGTTTTCCATAATGATCTTAAAGGTGTTAACTTCAACCCATCTTTTAAGTGCAAAGTGTAAAAATGGATGGAAGATGCCCTAAGGATGCAAAAGATTATAGGTTATTTCATGAATTTTTGCCAACTTCAACAAGTCATAACTTTCTCAATTTTTGGAAATTTTGAATGGTTCAAGTATTAAAATTTCATTTAAGAGATTTACTTCATTCCATCTATTTTAGCCAAGAGCAAATTTCAAAAGGAAGGCCATGTTTGGATGCAAGACATTACAAGTCATTTTTGAAGAAAAACTTGGAAATTTTCTAAGTATAGAAAGTCAACCTCTTTTTCTCAACCTTGACTCATTGCAAATTTTAGCTCAAGCATTCATTTGATCCCATTATTTTCATATTGTAAATCTTGTAGTCTCATCTTTCTAAAGCTTCAAGAATTATGCCCTAAGACCCCTTGAGTTTATAATGCCATTGTTTTGAAGTTGGTAACTTGAAACTGAATTTCTCACTAATTCAGAATTATGAAATCCATAACGTGGCTTCTAATCACAAGATTTGCACATGTTTTTAATTTAAACTTGATTAAAAAACTTTCCATAAGTGTTTAGCACCTCAAACACAAAGGTTGGATGGGTTTTGATGAAAATGAAGTCACACTTCACTCGTGTTCAACCTTCACTCATTTTCCCTCCACACTTCTTTGTTTTCTCCAATTTTAATTTTCATTAATTTTCTTATAAATAAAGGACCTTATTCCATTCATTTCCACAAGCTTTGAGAGCCAAACGCACCCTGTCAAAACCTCACACGAACTTCAAAATTTTTGAAATCAGTTTCTGAGATTTAAACTGTGTTCTCCAAAATTCTTTGCACATTCATCATCCTCTATCATCATACAAGCTCTCCAATACTTAAACCAAGTAGAACGAGCCATAAATCAAGTTACATAAGTCCATTTTCAGAGCTTCGTTCTTGAACTTCGAACAGGTAGAATTCTCCACCATTTGGACCCAAACAAAGCACTAACTTACTCTACTCCTCCTTCTGATTCTTATGCTTCTTACAATTTTTAAATTCATTGAGAATTGAGAGAGAATTCTCAACTGAAAGGTGCACACTATTTTATGAGTTTTTGATCCATATCTCTTTGCACACTTTACATAATTTGACGCGACAGTGAGGTTAGGATCGTCTTGAAGAGACGAATCCAATGATATTAGTCTGAGATTCTAATTTTTCCATTTGAAGAAACTCACAAAATCTCCATTGTAGGGCGTCTGGAGGTTGAAGACAATGACATGTCTCGTCTCAACCAGTGAAAAAATATATAAAAATATTTTGAATTATTTCTGACTTTATGAATATTTTTTCATATTTTTATTTTGATGTTTGATATTTTTCATAATTTTTGCTTTGTTTGCTTTATTTTAATTGTTTTAAAAATACTTTCTGAGATTTTTAAATTCTGAAATTTTTTATAAAAATCATTTTCATCATTTTTGACCTTCTAAATTTTTTTGGAATTTTATCTTTTTTTTACTATTTTTTTTAATCTTTTTTCCTTTATTTTAGCAATTTAAATTACTTAAAAAATATTTCCTGACTTTAAAAAATTATCAAAAATTTTATAAAAATATTTGAGTTCATTTCTGATTTTTTCTATGGTCTCATTTAATTTTTCTTGAGTGTTTTGAATATAATTGCTATTTTTCCCTTATTTCCAAATTTAAATATCATTTAAAACTTTTTTATTTTATTTTTAATATTATTTTATTTTTTGTACATATTCTGGATGATCTTGGACTATGAAATTTTGATCATGAACTTTATTAACATCATTGGATCCATGATGTTGAGTCTAACTCCATAAAATGGATGAATGATTTTAATAATAGTTTGATTAAATTTTTGGTTCAAATGTGGTTTACTTTTTATCCTATTTCTTCTTCATCTCATCTCTCTCAATTGTACTAAATGTTATTAGAGCATGATTTCCATATCATATCTCAAAGAATATGGTACATAGATTGCTATTGACCGACCTCAAAATAGGTGCGACTTCTATATAAGTCAACTTACGATTGCTTAACATAGCGCTAAATTTTGTCCCGAATCGAGAAATGATCATTTATGGTCCAAACTCATGTTTTCAAGCCCAAGTATATTGATTTGAACCCTTTCATCCAATAACCATGAGATTCGTTATTAGGAGGCTTTGGTTCTACCAGTCCTCTAAAGAATCTTCATCCATTTTAGTCAAAGTGGATCACTTAAACATCATTGATCCTTTAATGATGCCATAAGAATTATTAAATGGATGATATACTTGACAAAAAGCAAATGCAACTTGTTATTGAGAGGCTTTGGTTATACCAATCCTCTAATGAGTTCCAAATGCAAGTTTTAAGATGGTCATTCAACTAACCATTAATTCCTAACAATTGACTGTATTTTATGCTTTTAATTTATGCCTTTACTTTAAGCACATTTATTTTTAGCATTTAAATTTCATGTTATTTTCATCTTTACTCACTTGAGCATTTACT